GGGCGGAGCGTGGCCAGGCAACCAGGAGGCGTGGGGACCGGCTTGGCGCCGCAGCTCAGTTCAGCCAGCAGCGGCGGCAGTGGCAGAGCAGCCCAGCGGCAGCGCCAGCAGCAGCGCCAGCCACCCACGCTGCTGAGCCGGCCTGGGGCGGTGTCGGGGGCGCACGCGATGGCGCTGCGGTGGCAGGAGCAGGAGAAGGGCGCTGTTGACAGAGAAGGGCGCCCTGGAGGTGGAGGAGCCGGAGGAGGAGGAGGGCGGTGGCAGCGGCCAGATAGAGCAGTGGTGTCTTGGTTCCTAAGACCAATGGAAATAGGTGTTTTCCGATGGTCTTAGGCGACCCCTGTGAAAGCGTCGTTCGACCCCCAAAAGGGTCGCGACCTACAGGTTGAGAACCGCTGCTTTAGAATATCATCATTGTTTTTCTGTCCGTCATCATTATATAGGTTCTTATAGAACTCGTAGGCCACTAATTTCTTTCCTTCATTCTGATATACCATATCACCTTCTACATTATATAATTTACTAATCCTCTTTTTGTTATTGTGTTTCTTTATTTTGTAAGCCAACCATCTCCCCGGTTTATTGGCATTCTCAAAAAAATTTTGTTTAGTACGTTTTATCTGCTGACCTAGTTCTTCCTTTTCAATGATATTCATCTTATGTTTAATTAGGTCTATCTGTAGTTTCAAATCGCGTCTTTGTGGCTCATTTTGTAAATTTTCCTCAGCTCTAGTAAGTTCTTCTTCTAAATTTCTTTGTCGCTGTCATTTAATTTTATTTTCCCTGGCCATATAAGAGATTGCAATGCCTCTCATATAGGCTTTGGCTGTATCCCATAAATTTTGGCAATTTGTATTTTCTTTTTTATTTGTCTAAAAAAACAGGTCCATTTGATCTTCCAATCTCAATTTGAATTCTTTATGTTTTAGGATTGCTCTTTTTAGGGTCCATCTCTTTATTCTTTTTTGCCTTTTCCATTTGATTTTAATTGGGTTGTGGTCAGCCCAGAAGTTCGTATCAATTACAATATCCTCCACCTCCAGATTTAAATCTGCTGACATCCACACCATATCAATTCTGGACCATGATTGGTGTCGCCCCGAGTAGTACGTAAATTGCTTTTCCCCTATATTCCTCTCTCTCCAAATATCCTGAATATTGAGCTCCTCTGCCATTTTTAAGAATGTATTGGGTAATGTTCCTCTAATTCCTTTTCTGTTCTTACCACATTTATAATCTAGGTGTCTATCCACAATTGCATTATAGTCTCCCATTATACAAATATTGTCATATTCCAATTTATTAATAATACTGTGTAGTTTATTGTAGAATTGTTTCTGCCCCTCATTTGGGGCATATATTCCCACAAGTGCAATTTTTGTTTTATTCAATGTTACTTCTATTATCAAGATTCTACCATCTTCATCTTTATAGATTTGATTTGCCAAAATTTCCTGTTTGATATATGCTACGACCCCTCCTTTCTTATGTTGTGAAAGTGCTGCAAACATGTTTCCCAATTTGGGGCAATTTAGTAAATATTGATGTTGTTTTTTTATATGAACTTCTTGTAGTATTATTATATCTAAGTTCATCTTACTAAGTTTGTTTTAAAAAAATTCCTTTTTAATGGGGAGTTGAGACCATTAACATTTAGAGATATAGCTTCAACTCCTTTTTTGCCTCTTTATCTATATTTGGATCTTGTTATTATTGTCGGTCTAGACTCTTTAGTTTATGATTCCTTTTCTCTTTTCACTAACGATCTTGTCGATCTAGCCTCTTTAATTTCTTTAAGTCTATTCTCATCATGTTTTCCATCATCTTTTCCATTATCTAAATCCTCTCTATTCTCAACTCGCTTACCTTTAGATTGTGTTTCCTTTCCTTCAGTGGCCTGTGCTAATATCTCGCCTTCTTCTCTTACCTCTCTTTCAACTAAGTCCTCCTCACTGCCAAAGTTTTGTCTATAAAATTCCTCTTTTTTATCTATTGTATCTAGTCAGAGCCTCTTCTCCTGCCACACAACCAAAATCCCTTCCAGAGTCAACCATCTAAAATTAATATTTTTTCTCGTCAATTTAGAAGTTATTCATTGATAGGGTCTTCTCAAGTCTCTCACTCTTCTAGGTACTTGTTTAAGTACAATCAGTCGTCTGCCTCGATACTCCAATGAATCATCTCTAGCCCTAAATAGTATTTCATCTCTGATCGATTTCTTAACAAATCTAACATGGACTTCTCTAGGGAGATTATGCCGTCTTGCATAATTCGTGTGAATTCTGTAGATCTCATCTATCTTAGCCATCTCTTCTCTACTGCTCCCCAAAGCCCCCGCTAGTATATCTGTCATTATTACTGGTAGGTTTTCACCTTTCATCTCGCTGACATTTTGGAACCGTAAATAATGAGCAGCCTTCTCTAATTCCAGGGAAATGACTGTCGATTCCAAATCTCTGTTGGCCTGAATTAACCTCTCATTCATTTCATCTACTCTCTGCTCTTCTTTTCCCATCCTTTCTTCCATTTCCGATAGCTTTTGTTCATTTTTCATAATTTGTTGTTGGAAAGACTCAAATTTCCCATCCATTTACTTTATTTTATCCTTGAGTTCCCCTGTGTCATTTCTTACTTCCCCTATTTCTTTTTTTAGATCGTCATGATTTTTACACATCATCTCTTGCATTGATTGCAACATTAGTTGCAGATCTCTAAATGAATTCACTCTATCTCTTTGTGTCACCTCTTCCAAAGATCTTTGCCTAGCTGGACTTGGTTCCATTGTTATGGTTTGTGTTGTCTGTTTCCTCCGTATTCCAACCCTTGTGAGGTTGGGAATACTTGTCATCTTTTTTCAATTCTTCAAACCAACCTTCCCACTTAGTTACAGTTTTTGTATTTCTCTCCAGAATATCAGAATTATCACTATTAAAGCTATTAAATTATCAATTAAATATATTAAGAACAAATATTAATAAGCTTAACCCTATATTTTACAACAATCAGTATTCACCATAAACTTATCAATAAGTATAGTTGATTCAGAGATCCATAGTTTCAAAAAGTTCAATGAGTATATATAATTTTTCTCCCAGATTATACTCACAGTTTCCTTCTGTAATTTTTCCCAGTAGTTACTTTCAAATCTTAAGATCAAGAAATTCTACACAGATATCTATTTAACACTTGCAAACAAGACTAAATATACTTTGAAGTCACTTTCCCCTTTTTCCCCCTCCTAGGGCTATTCTCTATTCAACCAGCAGGTGTCTCTTCTGCTTTGTCTCTAATATTCAACCTACAGGCTTAGTTTGAATGTCTACCTCCTTGGATTCTTCCAGGCTTTCACTTTGTGGTTTGAAGTACACTTGTCTTTCAAGGTTAAACTTTCCTTCCTTGGAAGAAAGAAAGAAAAAAGAAACTCTTCTTCCCTTTGAGTTTCTCCAGCTGAAATAATAATTCCACCGTGCAGGCAGACCTTCCAAGCCCAAGCCTTTCTTTTCGCCACTATATCAAAAACGAGGAAGAGAAAATTCTCTCCTCCCCTTTTGTGGGTACTTTCGATCTTCAGTCCTTTTTAGAAATCCTCCGGTGGGTTCTTTCACCTGGATCCCTTCTGGTGGGTTATCAGGATCACTGCCCAGGTTACTTTTGACTGGATCTGTCATGTCTCCGTCCTGCTATATCACCGCTGCGTTACGGCCAGCTGACAGTTGTCATTTTTTCACGGCCGCCATTGACGGCCGTCTTCTTCCTCCGCTCAACTTACCAAGGCTTTTCCCAAGTTCGCCAGTCCCGACCGCTGTCGGGAACCACTCCCCAGGACACTTTATTCTTCCTGGTCCCCCTCCAAGGAACCAGGGACCCCGAAAGGTCTGTCAAATGGTCGGAAATGGGGGCAAACGCTCCAGAGAATCGTCCAGCACAACCTTTCTTCTTGACAGCTGGCCCCACCCCCCATAAAATGTTTAATTCGCCACTTCCGTCTGCAGAAGGGTGGAGCAAACGGCCCCTTCCTCACTTTCAGAGATTTTTCTTCTTCTTGGGGTTTTCCCCCAGGAAATTAGTTAATATGTAGAATAGAGAAAATCGATGTTCTTACCCAGATCCAAGCACGTTGTTTACCATCAGCTTAAAGTAGTGCTTTTGGACTTCGGTTGCTTGTAGCTTAGGCTAGACTCTGAAGTTTGGCTAGCCTTTCTCCCGTTGGTTTCTGGAAGGCTTTTCCCAGACCAATCGGGTCAACCACTGTCTCTCCGTGGTCCACGGAACTTCCTTCCTTCTTTGCCGCCTCTTCGGGGCAACTTCTGGCCCATTTAGAGTCCCCTAACAGGCAGAAAATCAGCCGTATGGTGCGGAGCCTCGCAATCCCTCGGCTACTGCACTACTGTGCAAAACCGGAAGCCTAGATCATTGTGTATCTGAAGCACCTTTATCCACCCAGAATAGGGGGAAATCAGTCTCCTTCAGGAAGGAGAGAAAGGGAAAGAAAGCTGAAAAATGAAGGATGGGCCCAGTTGCTTTGAAATAGGCAGAGAAGGGCTGGAATAGAACAGAGAATAAGTGAAAATGGCATTGATGGCTAGCTGGAATCCTAAGCAAGAAAACTCCACCTTGCAAGTCTTACTTATAGGCATGTAACAGGAGAATCCAGAGAAGCAGGTGTGGTTGTCAAAAGAATTAAGGTAATGGCCACAACTATATGCATTTGGAATGCATATGACAAGATGCAGGGCTTCAATTGCATATACCCAGCAGTCGTAATTTTCTCGAAATCCACCCCTGCAGATCCATGATGCAGAAATAAGAGTTGCAATAAAAGGACCATACTGTGGCAACTGGTTGTTAAATGAATAAAAATATCCAGTTACTGCTCCATTAGTATTTTTGGAAACTAGGATTGGTTTGCTCTAAAGTCAATGTGGTCTAGTCAATTAACAGCTGTCAACAGTTTAACATGTTCTCTCTAGCAGCTCATGTGCTTTGTATTTTCCCCACAGCCATTGGAAGGACCCTCATCCCTCGTTATTTTAGCACTGTCTTTGAAGGAGGAGTGACAGACCTGTATTACATCCTCAAGCACTCAAAAGAATCCTATCATAGCTCTTCCATCACAGTGGATTGTGATCAGTGCACCATGGTCAGCCAACATGGAAAACCTATGTTTACAAAGGTAATAGGAAAGGGTGATGTGAAACATGCAAATAATGGGTGTTCAAGATACTTTTCTGTCTATAACAAATGTTTTCTCTGAGTGTTGATGAATTTCCTGGTTCCTTAGATATCAGCATTCTTTTTTAAAGGAACATATAACTATATTGTTAGTCATAAGCTGGAAACTGGGAGAAAGCACCACTATTATTTTAATAGATTATTTTGTTTAAGAGTATGAAAAAGAGAATGCCAGATCTGGACGCAAGCCCAGATGGATACTTCTATTTGTTTAGCAAAGGGACAGTCATACAACTATTCCATCAAACATGAGCTTGGCACATCATGCAAAGATTCATTTGTATAGAGACCAAGTTTACACTACTTAAACACAAACATATGCACACCTCATATATTATGTTAAATTGGAGGTGATCTGTCCCTATCCTCTATCAGGAAATGAGAATATCAGCCTATATAAGGGACAGGCTACCTGTCTATTGAGTCTTCCAGAAGACATTCCAAAAGAGAACTATGTTAGACAATGGTAGCCAAAAATATAAGGAGTCTGGCAGCAGCAGAAGAGCTACTTAATTTGGAGAAAGTAAAGCTAGGGAAGAAATCATGCTGAATGTTTGAACATGCATTTGAATGGAATGGAAAAACTGTGTGTGCACCTCGGTATTGAGGGAGCTGGACAGATTACAACAATCCCAGATGCCACAACAAATGATCAGATATCATCATCATCCAATGCCATCAAGTCATTATTGCTCCCAGTGCTTTAAAAACTGAACAAAATATGACATAAAGCATAAGAAAAAAACAACTATAATTAAACAACCATGGTTAACAAAAAAGGTAATAATAATTAAATTTTTACTCTACAGACCTCATAACACTATAGCTCAAAATAACTTTAAAATCAAATCAAAGGTAGCATTAATAATAATTTTTTTAAAAAATCATAATAAAAGTGACTGGTAAAGGATTACTTCCCAACTACACTTAGTACCTTCTGGAAATCCATTACCAAGGTACCTAGTCTACCTTCTAGAGCAGGCATGTCAAACTGCCGGCCTGCGGGCTGGATGCATCATGCCAAAACCGCGCCCACCCCATTACTGGCAATGGGGGAAAAGTCCCGATACGTCACGCGACATCAGGTGATGTCACGAGTTTGACATGCCTGTTCTAGAGGTAGGTTGTTCCCAAAAAAATAGTTGCTAAGCAATGCTTTATTGTCACAGTTCCCCCACTTTAGAAAAATGGGACGCTTGTAGACACTGCAAATATCTTGGTGTCAAGCCTTCTGGGTAAAGAAGTTAAAACTACCACTGTAATTCCACTCAGAAGCCTGCTGATAAAAGTTGTGATCCAGTAATATCTCTGGTTATCATCCTTTCTCTATAATTTTGCCTTTAAAGATAAAATACTGTAGTTGGTCATTATTTCAAACTTTTAGGAGATGTCCCTTATATGAAAGGTTTTATTTTCCCAAGAAGTTTTATCTTTTGAGAAAGTGATTGCCCGTCAATAATAACAATATCCAGTAGAAGCCAAAATGATGCCAGGAACAACATGACATCATACACAAATGATGTGAATTGTGTAGTTTGCACAGTGACATAATTATGTGTATGATATTACTTCCCTCTCCTACCCCCATACCCTGGTAAATGCTCTTTCAATTATTATTATTATTATTTTAATTTATTGATTTTCCAGTTTTATATTTACATATTTGAAAAGCAGCATGGCGGCTGGGTTGGTTCATAATTTAATAACATACACATTTCTTTAGTACAAATCACAAACTATTACATTAAATATTTCCTCTCTTTTTCCCTTGGTATTTACTGTCTCACATTTGAATTAATACAATTCTTATTATATCAATTTAATACAAATAGCTTTCTTACATTTATCAATAATTTTTAGTTTATACATATCTTAGTCATTTTAACATTCAATCTTTTTAGACAATCAATGTCCTGGTAAGTTTTTCCCAATTTTTAGTTTCCCATAAATATTTAAATTTAACATTTAATAAGTTTCCAAATTTTAAATAACCCCAATTCCCTTTATCACAATTCATCCCTGGATCTTACATCAGCTAGTTAATAATACAATATAATATTCTTATTTTCTGGTAATTTCCAAATATCTTAAATTCAATAACCAAAATTTCTCTTATTTCAACATTTAATACTTCCTCTTTTCTCTCTCAATATCTACTATCTTATATTTAAGCTAATAATTTTTATTATTACCACTAAATAACATATTTGTTACATTCATCAATACATTTCTAGTTTATATATATTTTAATTGCCTTTATATTCAATATTCAATATTCAAATTTAACTATTAATGTTTATATTTCCAAGTCCTAAATAACCAAAGTATCCTTTAACTCAACTCATAACAATTTCTAATATTCAAGATACACATCTTATTTATTTTGAGAATATTCTGTTTTAATTCTCACTAGTAAGTCAAAACCCCAATTTTCTTCAGTCTTATTCTAGCTTGCTTTCTTTGCCAAATTGTCTTCCATGTCTGTGCTTTTGAGTCATCTAATAAATCTCCCTGTGTTATTATGTATGTTGTTTGATGTAGAAAAAACCATCTGATCGCAATTTTTTTTGAGAAGACTAACAAATTGTCTCTCTATTTTTCCATCTTGATGTAATTGTCTTAAACTGTTTATCTTCTCTTCAATCTGTTGTTCTTCTTGATCCTCAGGTTTCTTCTGATTTATGTAGAAAATCTTTTCCCTTTTCCATTTTGTCAGTCCCTTTTCTGGGTTTTCCATTGACTGTACTTGTTAATCAATTGAATCTTCAGTCATAGTATTTAATTGGTCCACTTTTTCCTTTATATTCTGTGTAGTTGATTTTTCAGTTGTAATCAAAATTTGAGTTTGTGTATCTGGGCTGACATCCCATTCTATTCTGTAACCTCTTATTTCTTCAGTAGCTGTAAGAATAGTTTGGTAAATCAGTTTCAGCATAAAAAGAATCTGTTCCTGATCTTCCTCCATATTCTCTTAGTAATATGTTATTAAAGGCTTTGCAATCAGAGAATATTAAAAAAAATTCAGTGAGTATGGAACACAGCTGGGCTTCACTGCTGATAAGTGTCTTAAGGCTATAAGTCTTATCTATTGTCTAGGCTGCCAGCCAAGTCTCTTTTAAACAATAACAGGTTGTAATATCAGGTTTAGCCACAAGATGTCGCCCTTATATTTAAATTTTTCCTTTAGGTCCGAAGTTTTTATAATCTTTTCAGTTTTACTTCTTTTTTATAAGTAAAAACCCAGATCTTCAGTAAGAGTAGAAAGTCTTTTAATCCACAAACTTTAAGAAATAAAATTCCAATTAGGATCAGGTTATTCTTGCAACATTTTTAAAAACTCCCCTGGATAGTCAGTCGCTGCTATTTTTAGAGGGAGGGGTAAAATCTCCCCTCTCCACAGGGGGAAAGTACTTAAGGCAACTTATGCAGGTAAAGAAAATAGTTAGGATTTAAGAGAGGTAGATCTCACCCAGTCTCGCCTGTGCTGCCTTAAAATTGCCTGATGGTAAGTGTGACTTCGGCTGTCTGCAGCCTAGTGATGAGCCATATTGCTATGGCCGGTCTTTCATCCGCCAGTTTGGAGGGCTGCTCTGGATCAAGTAGAAGAGCTACCGCCCTCCCGCAATCCAATGGGGATCCCCTCCTTGCTGGTTGCCCCTACAGGGCGACTTTTGACCCTTTCCAGGGTCCCCCAGCGAAGCGAAACTGAACGCGGAAGACAGAGCTTGCCTTCCAGACGTCCATATCAGCTGCCTCGGCAAACTGGAAGTCGCTCTTTCAATTATTTATTAAAGCTAAATACAGGAGATACATTCTCAGCTACTTATGACAGCTATGTACTTTTCTTGTGTGTTTTTAAATTGGCCAGGTTTTTTATAACTAAAAGAGTATCTTCATTAATATCTTCTTGGTTTACTACTGAGGGTTAGTTAAATGCAGTCTTTTTGGCCAAAGGAGCTTGTAACTATTTCAGGTTTTGATCATCAGAGGCAGTGGCTCAAAATAGTGGTGGTGAGTAGTATAATATCTTTCATCAGATTTCATCAGCACTGTTAACAACAATACCACTGTCCATTAATTAGGAGTTTGTTTGCATGCCTGTAATCCTCTATGTCACCAAATAAATAAGAATTACTTAACCCAGCTGATTCATTAATAACTGGTAGCATCTTACAAAAGACCACTTCCATATTAATGGATCATTTTGCTTCTGGTCTGAATTATTTTTATGATCTCTCATGTTCTTAATCCTAACTTATTAACTCAAAATTAGAGGCCAAATTGGCTTAAAAGAGGATTAATTTAATGTTTAACCTTTAAGAGAGAGAAGGTAGGCATTATCATTGCATTGCTTGACTTCAAGTATCTTAGAAATATTTACTACTGTATTTATCTCTTTGTTCAGAACTGGATAGATCATTTTTTTTATTTTCTAAATTCTGTTTCAGTGAAGCTTGGACAGGACTTCACAGTAATTGTTCAACTCTTTAGAACAATTTCCACTTCTGCTGGAGCCATTTAATTCTTGGAACTTTCTTGATTTCTGAGATGTTAATATCATAATTTTCTAAATTATGATGCTGCCTCAGTATATTTTGTCTCATCTATCTGTTGCTGTTTTAAAATGTGTGTTTCCAATATTGCCTTCAGTATTCTCAGGGGATCTAAAACCACCTAATCCATAAAAAGAAAAGAATAACCATCTATTCTTTTTGCATGGCCTAATGTATTTTTTTTCTTCAGGAAATACTGCCCAACTAAATTAGAGTTTTGGGGTATAAAATATGTGCTCCAATCTAAAGTGTTTAGAAAATTGGTTGATTTCAAAAATCCTGCCTATGAAAGAACCTACAGAAACGTAAGATTACACAACATTTAGGAAAGGAAGATCAACAGTTGGATTCTGATTTTTTTCTGGTGCAGAAAAATACACAGAAACAT